GAAGAAAACAAGATTTAATCACGTTAATTTTGCTTTTGCTTGGTGGTGGTATTGTGCAGTCTAGTTTAACAAAGAAGCAATCCATTGAGCTTGGGTAAATGAGTTTTCACCTTTTCATATATTTTACGAGTCACATGCAGCAGAGAGTATTTCCTTCAGAAAAAATGATTTTGCAGGGATAGCCCTTCATAGTATGGGAATGGGACCAAGAAGAAGCAAAAGACAAAGTTACATAATAACAAAGTTAGCTTGTTTGCTAATCTAGCAGCTATATGTTCCTGCTTCTGTTACTGGAAGTGAACAGATTCTTTAAAAGTGGGTACTGCTTATATGAATTTGAATTGGGGAAATGTAACCTTTCAACTGCTCTGCCTTTTCAAAATAATGAAAAAGTAGTATGGTGTTTCTAAAGGATTGTGTGTCATAGTAATATGGTTGCAATGTAGCAATAATAAAACTTTTTTCTGCCTCTGAAATTAAACAGTGAGACCATTGAATTCATAATAGTCAGGTAGAATATGTATTATGTGTAAAGAGGGTTTTCTGTTGAATCGTGACCTTTCACTCAACATATATTATGGGTAGAAATTCTAAAGCTATAGTGGCTGAAAACTGGATCCCTGCCCCCAGCAATCACTCCTTCTCAGTTTCTCTCTCTCTCTCTGTCACTCAGAGCTATGTTAGGTAATTATCCTGGTTGCATGTAGCAGCTTTAAATTAAATCCTTTAAAACAGGTATGCAGAAGCATATTGGCATGGGAGTCTGAATAGCTCATCATTAGGACCCTGCTGAGCTGGGTGGCATCAGTGGCATACCCACTCAGGTTGCCCCATCCCCTGGGCGTTTTGCCTTTCTATGAGCTGGGAGAGGTACATAATTCTGTGATTCTCAGAGCAAAGTGAAATCTCTGACTTTGTATGGTACCCACCATCCCTGGTGCTCAGGGACTTGCCACAGCACCAGCCAGGTCTGTTCCACCCCACCTGCACCTCTGCTGTTCTCTCTAATATGAGTTTGGTGATAATAGTTGGGCTTCTTCTACAGCAGCGGTCCCCAGCCTTTTTGGCAGCAGGGACTGGTTTTGTGGAAGACAATTTTTCCATGGACTGGGGGCGGGGGATGGTTTTGGGATGATTCAAGTGCATTACATTTATTGTGCACCTTATTTCTATTATTACTGCATTGTAATATATAATTAAATATTATACAACTCACCATAATGCTAGAAGCCCAAGACCCAAAAGGGCCTTGCAGTGGTGGCATGGGACCTGAAATAGGCCTCACAGCCTGCCAGCAGCTCTCCCTGCCCCCTTGCACTTTGTCATGTGTGCGCTGTGTGCTGGGCCTGCTCAGCCTCTTCACGCTTGCCCACTCACTCTGCCTCCCCCTTCCACCATCGACCTGCAGCCCAGCCCTTACCTGCTTCCTGGTTCCCTCACTGCTTGCACGCACCCTCCTTGGCTTCTCTGTGCCACTTGCCTTCCAGCTCTGCTCCCTCTTCTTTTTGAGGCCCAAGACCCAAAAGGGCCCTGAAGATAATCTGTATTTGCAGCCACTCCCCAGCAGTGATGCTAGCTGTACCAGTCTGCAGCCCAGGGATTGGGGAACCCTGTTCTATAGGACAGGATTTGATTTTCAGACATGCCTTCTAGAAACATCTAAGCTTTAAAACTATTTTAAAATGCTTTTAAAACAATAGAATATGAATCTGCTTTAAAATAAGTGTCCAATTGAGGTTCCTAAAATAAGACCTTTTAAGATTGCACAAATATTACTCATTAATTTGACCAAAGTCTGTTAATTTTGAAAATTCATTGAAATATTGCTGGAACCCTGTCATGGATATCCAAGGTGAACTAACTATACATTTTCTTATTTACCAAACCATTCTCCCCCCCTCTGGTTTGGCTGTCTTACATGTTATTGGACAGTAAATAATAGACATATGTTATCAGCTAGCTAATAAGCATTACAAAGGATGCCTTGAAATAGTATTATCTATTCCTAATTATTCAAGAGAAAAATGCATTATTGCTGTAAAAGCTCTTATAAAAATCCATATATTCACTCTGTCCATGCCATCTTATCTCTATGTAAACACCCTTTACTTTATACAAAATTTAGTGTCTCTGTAATGTTTTTTTTATTGGATGCATTTAGTAGTAAGTAAAACTCAGTAGTTTCCATAAATTGTTTCGTCAGAAGACATTAAATAGAATTAATGGAACAAAGCAACAAAACTTGATTTGATGAAAAGCAGAAGTGGGTTTGATAGCTAATAGATGCTGTGAAATCTGCAAAACTTTTAAATCCTGTCTGAGCTTAATCGTCTTATCAGTTCCACAGGTTCTGCTGCTTCAGTGACTGATATGGCCAGCGTAATACCTATTATCTGTATTTGCTAATATCTTTGGCAGCACTGTATAAAGTTTAATGGTTTACTATTAAACAGATTCCACCTTCTTGGTTTTCTGGCTTTCATAGCAGTTACTACAGAAAGTTGTTTCTTTAAATAAAAAATTAAATAACTTCTTAGACAAGTAGAGCCTTCTTCCTTAATATTTAAGGCTGCTTTTATTGTGAGTGGCTAGAGAAAATCAAAGTTAATCCACTTTAAAAGACCAACATCTTACCTTATTGAAATGTCAGTACTGGTTGAAATAGTTTCAAATGTTCAAATGTATTTGTCCAGGGGTCTGCCCATTTAAAGCGTCAAGAATGTTCAGGATATCATGATTGGATGTTGGGAGATTAGTACCTGCTTCAGAAATACCTGCAACTGGGCTGATTTAGTGGGAGACTCTAGATTGCTCCGAATGTTCAATTTATATTATGAGAGTTGGGCATGGTGGAGAAAGTGAGTAATGGAAAGTAATTATATGAATCAGAAAGTGATAAGATAATTTCTGGGGGAGGGGAAAGAAATGCATTAACCAGTTTGAAAAATAACTGCAGCAGAGGACTATTGAAGACTAGGTCAGTAACCATAATCTACAATGTTCTATATATAAAACAGGTTAAGTATCTGATGAAGTGTGGGCTCTAATGGGAAAGAAATATTGAAGGAATAGGAGACAAGGAAGGATTTTGGAACACAGGAAAATGTGCAGAAATTTCATTGCTGTTTTAGTGTGTGAAAGCAATAGAAAATAGAGCTTATGTTCATCTGTGTCCTGGGCTGGTATCTGCTAATCCAGATATATCAGCGGGATCAGTGGTGTAGCACAGGATCAAGAATTAGTTGGTAGCTCTTTTGTTGGGTAGATTTCCTCAACTACAATAGTTATTCCTTAACTACTGTTGATGCTAGGGAAATACGTTTTTGATAATATCCTGGCAAAACTTATGTTTTTGGTCTGGTAAAATATTTATATGCCACTTTTCTAGGGTGTCTGCAAGCCAAAATTATCTAGCAGAAACTTCTTCACTTTTGAAGGGCAGTGGTAACTGATGTTTGCACAGTAGCCCTCACAGAAACTGCAGATTACTGTAACTTCTATAATAGCTTGTTGAAATAAGCCATCAATCTATGGTTTGAAAAGCTGGCTTGATTTAACAAATTGTGGTTGACATTAACCACAGATAGGATTTGGATGACATGCTAAACTACAATAAATCTACAATGGAAGAAGCCTCTGAACTCCAACAGACATTTGTTCCAGAGAAGGGTAGAGTAGAACATTCATGTTGAAGAGCTGGGGATGCACACAAGCCCACGGCTTGTTATAACTCATTCTCATTATATTTAATTGTGACTTAGCAGGATGCCTAAGATGGCATATGTGTCATTTTTCCTTAAAAACATTATGAACTGCATTTTCAATTTGAAGTGGCTTTCGGAGCAGTGTACATAAAAAAAATTGAATACAATAAAGGCAGCTGTCAATAAAAATGAGAGGCATAGCAACTATTTTTTCAATATGCCTAAAACTATTTCTAACAATTCTTTATTCAGTATGCAAATGTAATACTTTTACACGTCATGGAGAACATTCAGAGTAAAGTCTCAGTATGGCTTAGTAATAGCCATCCTCATCATGCTTATACAGTGCACATTAAAGCAAAAACTGTCTTATTTCATAAATATCCTTCCTTTAGTTAGGGTGTAATTTATTGCCTTTTAAGCATGCAAGATTCAATCAATTTGACCACTTTTATCCTCTCTTTACCATAGTTATGGTATATAGGTAGTACTACAGTTTTATGTAACTTTTTCCAGGGTACTCAATATAAAACTGGTACTCAACTATCATAGTTGAAAATGATAGAAAAGATAAATGATAAAACAGAATTCTCAAGATCCATTGGCTGTCTTCTCTGGAATTGATTGTCTGTGGGTTGTCTTTAGATGCTTCTTGTGAGGTGTCTGTCACTGCAAAGGAGTCTAAGCAATGTTGGGAAAAGCAGCAGGATTTTTTTTGTCATTCCTTCTGACTGGCTTGCTACCTGATTCCCAATACTGATGATGGGATTGGTCACCTGACAACCCATAGTGAATGCAAGAAGCCCTTAAACAAATCTTGGGATTTCCAGTTGACTTATTACCCTAAATCACCCTGGGGAGATTAGTCCAGACGTGCATGACATGCTAACCCAATGTGGGTAACAACTCTCACTGGTGGTTGTGTTGTACAAACCTGGTCAATATGTGGTTACTGTATATATTGTTTCAAATAATATGCTTGAGAGTCTCTTGCTTGTTCTCTCTCTGTGTCTCTCACATGCACACAGAGGATAGCCTTCATCAAGCAAGTATTCTTTAATCCGGATTTTATCTGCATATGGCTAGTTGTTCTATCTTGATGGTGGTTATGAAGATTACTGAGAAGGGCTATGAAAAATTAGGAAGAGTGCTGTGTAAACATTGTGTGATGTGTACAAAAGGCAGCCTGTAGAAGCTGAGAGATTGGTCATGAGTGCTGTTTGTGCACAGAATCTTGAACTCGAGACAGACATTTCAGAAAATAACTGCTTATTCTTTATCTACTCTTCCTTATAGATTTCTGCTTCAGTGTCTTGAAGACTTGGATGCCAATTTACGAAAGTTAAATTCTCGTTTGTTTGTGATACGAGGACAGCCAGCAGATGTGTTTCCTAGACTTTTTAAGGTGAATTCTGATGCTTTGCTCTAAGTTTGATTACTGTACTTGCTTTTCTCTCATTGTTGATTCTGTGCAACTTGTGTAATTCTTAGTCTTGTTCTGGAAAGAAGCTGTTACAAAATATTAATAGAAATGTAATTGCATTCAGTTTGGAGAGTCTTGAGGTAAGATTTGCTTTCATGTACCAAGAGTATATACAAGGTCTTGTAGCATGTATCCAGTGATCATTGCTAATTTGAAGTTCATATTAATAGATCAGCTGCTCTGCATCTGTGTTTTTCATCATATTCGAATAATATGTCTAAACTTGAACTGCAGTACAGAAGCAGAATGCATTCCAATAATGTAACATGCTTCTAATATGATATAGATGTATACATACATATAACCCAAAATGTCGAGTATTTAAAATACTTCTAATCAAATAACTTTCATTTTATTTTTTATTGCAATGCAAGTATTTAACAGTGCCAGACTGAATAAACTCAAATATTAAGATATATCCAGATAGGAAGCAAAAATGCAGTGCTTAGGATATATTTTGAGAACATTGTATATTCATGAGAATCCCTTCATTCTTTTTCTTTTCTCTTTCTGCTTTTTCATTCTGTCTTATCAAGGTATTATTCTTGGTAGAAATTTTTCCATACAACCAAAACCTATGCAACTGACTTGTGTAAAAGCAGAAAAGGTGACTTAACAGAATGAATCCCAAGAAGATTCTTGTTTCATGAGCAGAGTGAAAGAAAAAGATGCATTATTTTAATTCTTATCCTAGTTCCTTTACTCTCTTAATCAAATAAAAGATAAAATTAATGTATTTGCAGTAGCCGGAAGTCAGCTACTCTTTGTCAAAGCACTCTTAAGAGCTTTAACATTGCATCTTGAGTCAACATTGCTTTTTCCAGGAGCCATTTCTTGCCTGATTACAACTGCAACTTCAAGACAGAGTTACAGATTTTACTTCTGCTTGTTCAAAACTGTTCAAAACTATTGCAGAACTCTTGGTTTGCATAAATGGAATAATTCTGCACAGCTGAGTACTGTTGCAAAAACATAGAATTCACTGGGGCATTCTTATGTCACCAAATACAGTTGATCACTTGGTTTCACAGTATGTTAAGATTTATTAAACTTTTTATGACTTGGAACAATTAAATTTCAGAATTGTGTCTGTTTTCAAAACCATAGGAATGGAATATTACAAAACTCTCTATTGAATATGACTCTGAGCCATTTGGGAAGGAGAGAGATGCAGCAATTAAGAAGTTGGCTACTGAAGCAGGCGTGGAGGTCATTGTACGAATTTCACATACTTTATATGATCTAGACAAGTAAGTTACCCATTTCTTAAGTCTGAAGGAGAGTAAATTAAGTGCTATTATTTATTATGCAAAAGTGTTAACAATACAGCAAGACAGAAAATTTTCTGCCGGGAAATTATCCAGTACTGTATATTCTTATATGAATTTGCCATTGTAAAGATGCTTTGCTTCTTGAAATTACTTTGCAACATGAATGCATCCCATACCAGAGTAATTTACTCCCAAGTAAAGCATTGAAATTATTTGACTATAACATTTTGATTAAGTCTGTTTGTTTGTTTATTTTTCCTTTAAATTATTGCAATGTTACTGTTCTTCGTCGTGGCCTCTGTGCATCACACATATGGGTTCTGCGCCTGCGCAGTGCCTTTGGCCGGAAGATTAACAGCTAACGGTTTTTTGGCGGGGACTCTGCTCCCCCTCCCCCCTAGCAGTATATAAGGAGCAGAGTGACCACCATTTTCAGTCTTTGCGACCGCCGTTCGCTGTGCCTCGTGCCGCTTCGCTCTCGCTAAGATTTATCACTTACCTCGTTCCTTGTTCGAAAATCTTGCCCTTTCTCTTACAAGTTGTATTCCTTGCTCTTGTTGTTACTACTTCACTTATATTTCTTAACGTGCACTATTTTTTCTTCTTCTTATCGTTCCTAAAAAAAAAAAAAAAAAAATTACTTTCCCGCTTTACTATCTTCTTCTCTTCAAATTTCTACGATGGCGCAAAGGGCGGCGTTCCGCAAATGCGGAAAATGCGGCTCGAAAATGCCCGCAGCAGATCCGCATGATCTGTGCCTCCTTTGTTTAAGGGAGGGGCACAGAACCGATAAGTGCGGCCATTGTTTGGCCTTCTCAAAACAGGCGAGGAAAAAGAGAGAGAACCGCCTTCGAAAACTCCTATGGGATCAGGCCCTTCTCCAATCTGACCGCCTGGTGGCTAAGTCCACTGTTGTGGCCCCACCCGAAGGCCGTCCAACTTCGGCTGAGTTGCCGCAATGCCCGGCCTCCTCCATTGCTCCGCCTTTACGCTCCTCTCAGGAAGGCGCACATGCTATGGCCGACCAGCCTGTTTCCCTGCTGAGGAAACAAAAGGAGAAAAGAAAGCACGGTGATTTAGATAAACACCCTGTGCTTAAGAGGGCCAAGAAGGACAAGACGAGCAAACCGGCTAAAAAGCCGAGGAACCCTGAGCAGGCAAAACAATGCCATTCAGACTCAGTCTCGTCTTTGATCCCGATACCGGTCTCGGAACCGACTCCCTCGGTACCGAACATCCAGGAGGCTATGAGGGTCACCCCACCGGCTTCACCACGCCGGCTGGCTGTCGAACCCGTCATGGAATCGAGGAGGGGCTCCATCTCTGATGGGGAAATAAGAGACTCTCCACCCAGAGCTCGATCACCAACCCCAATGCCGTTGGTACAGATGGATACTGATATTGCCATCTCCCCTCCAAAAAGCCGTAGGAGCCGTTCCTCGGATGCGAGATCTGACGATTGGTATCAATCCAGATACTCCTCCGCTCCGAGACGAGCAGAGTACGACTCTGCAGGCTGTTTCCCGACCAGGGAACGATCCTCGCCACCAGCCCACCGGGAGCGTTTCCATTCGACTCCCAGAGATGCCCTGAATGCCCCATCTAGAGAACGTGGCAGATCGGGGTCATCGGCTGAATCTTCCTCCAATGTGTCCCCCCCTTACTGGATGGAATCTGAAGAGTCTGAGGCTGATTCAACCTCACCGGATGCGGCAGTTACGTCACAGGGACCGGGATCACCTGATGAACCCTATATGTCATTCAACGATCTCATGGCCAGATTAGTGAGATCGCTTGATATACAAACCCATCACCAGCCGGGACCGAGCACGGCCCGCTTTCATGATGTTGTTAGAGGCGAGCTATCCACATCCATTGCCTTGCCGCTTATTACAACTTTAAGACAGGCAATGACCCAACCATGGGACCTCCCAGCTCAGCCGCAACCGACTTCACGGAAATATGAGTCCATGTATCGGGTGCGAGAGGAAGACCTCCCATTTCTCCTCCGCCACCCAAAACCAAATTCGGTTGTGGTGGAATCATCGCAGGGTCGGGAGGCCCGCGGATATACCTCGCCTAGAGATAAGGAGGGCAGAAAGGTTGATTCCCTTGCCCGTCGAGTCTACGCAGCATCGGGCCTAGGATTAAGGATCTCTAATTATGAGGCCACCCTGGCGCGTTACCAATATTTTTTGATGCAACGCCTAGATGCCATCATAGATACGATGCCAGGAAACCAAGGTGAACTTGCAAAAACCTTTGTTAAAGAAGCGATGCAAGTTGCTGTGCAACAGCTTTCCACTGCAAGGCACCACGTAGACTCGGATTCGAGGTCGCTGGTCGGGGCCATTTCCCTCCGCAGACACGCCTGGTTGCGTAATTGCAACTTCCCTGAAGAAATGAAGCGGAGAATTGAAGAAATGCCGTTCGACGGATCCGGTCTCTTCCACGCAAGAACGGACAGTAAACTGAAGAAGAGTCACGAGTCCCGCATGACCGCTCGTCGTATGGAGCTAAAATCTTTACCTAGACGTGAGTGGTCATGGTCACGCCCGCAATACCGTTCGCAGTTTCCGCTTCGGCAACAACAACAGCAACAACGTCACCAGCGCCGCAGGCAGCAACCACCCCAACGCTTCCAACAGGGCCGCCGTAGATTTGCTACGGACAGGCGACATCGTTGGCATTATGAGCGAACCGTTCCTCTCCTCCCATCTTTACCCTTCCCCCTCTCATTTGGGGATCGACTGAAGAGTCGACTCTCCATTTGGGAGTCAATCACATCTGATGGATGGGTATTATCTATCATCCAGCACGGATATGGAATCGAATTCGATGTTGTGCCATCTCCGAGTCCTATTCGATATACTACGCCTTCTTTGGTGCTTTTACACGAGATTCAACAACTTCTCGTTAAGGGAGCTATTCGTCGCCTCTCGTTATCGGAAGGACTCCATGGATTCTATTCCAGATACTTTACGGTTCCGAAACGTGATGGAGGTCTTAGACCAATACTGGACTTGAGAGCTCTTAATAAATTCATTACACCAAAGAAGTTTCGGATGACCACGCTTCAAAGTATTCTTCCGCTGCTGGGGAGAGGGGATTGGTTCGCTTCATTAGATCTAAAGGACGCTTATTTCCATATTTCTATACACCCAAGTTATAGGCGTTTCCTACGCTTTGCGGTAGACCAGAAAGTTTATGAATTCAACGTTCTACCATTTGGATTGGCCACGGCACCAAGGGTTTTCACGAAGTGTATGGCCCCTGTGTGTGCACACCTCCGGCTGTGCGGGATTCGAATTTACCCGTACCTTGACGATTGGTTGCTTGTTGCCGATACGGAAGCTGCACTGGCGTCTGCTATTGAACTTACATGTGCTCTGTTGCACGACCTTGGACTTTGCATTAACCGACGGAAATCTTCCCTTGTCCCTACGCAGGTGATCGATTTTATCGGAGCTCGACTGGATTCGAGGTCGGCAAGAGCCTTCCTTCCTCGAGACAGACGATATGCGATCGTTCATCGCATTGCCCGAATTCGGCAAGCAAGAACAGTTTCCGCCCGATCTATTCAAAGCCTTTTGGGGCACATGTCTGCTGCCATCGCTGTGGTCCCTCATGCCAAACTACGGCTACGCCCCCTTCAACTGTTATTCAACAAACTGTTTCGACCACAAATAGACCCTCCTACCAAACGAATCTGACTACCGGCTTCAGTTCTCCACTCCCTGCTATGGTGGACGGACTCAGCCAATTTAACCGTCGGCGTTCCATTTCAACCTCGGTACCCCACAGTAGCCCTAGGTACCGATGCGTCACTGCTGGGATGGGGGGCCACCTGCTCCAATCTAAGTACCCAAGGGAGATGGAGCCATCGGGACGGCAGGAATCATATCAACTTTCTGGAACTCCTTGCCGTTTTCAAAGCACTGCAAGCTTTCGAGGATCTGCTCCTCCATCAGATCGTTCAGGTGACCTCCGACAATGTGGCGACGGTCTTTTATTTAAACAAACAAGGAGGAACCCGATCCCGGAAGCTAGCACGTCTCGCCATGCAGATTTGGGACTGGTGTATACCCAGAGGTATCACTATTCTAGCAGTTCACCTTGCGGGCACCGACAACACGGAAGCCGATCTTCTGAGCAGACACATGTCACGCTCCCACGAATGGGAGTTAGACCGTCGGGTTCGAAACAGGTTATTTCACCGATGGGGTCGACCAGACATCGACCTGTTTGCCACTCAAGGGAACAGAGTGTGCAGGACCTATTGCTCCAGAGCGGGAGTGGGTCAGGACTCCCTGGGCGACGCTTTCATGATTCCATGGACAGGAGTGATTTTTTACGCTTTTCCCCCGATCCCACTTATCATGAGAGTGCTTGCAAAGATTATTCACGAAGGAGCTACAGGAATACTGATCACTCCATGGTGGCCACGACAGCCGTGGTTCCCAACTCTCCTTCAAGTTTCCAGGGAGGATTTTCTTCAACTCCCTCTTCTCCCGTATCTAATCACCCAGAAGGAAGGCACAGTTCGTCACCCAGACTTGCAATCCCTGAAACTGACCGCATGGCGGATACGGTGACCCGGGGCGATGCATCGATATCGGCACCGCCTACTATTCCGACTACGCTTGCCCAGCAGAGCCTGCACCCAGATCTGCAGTATATTCTTGAATCTGCTCTACGACCATCTACCAGGAAGTCGTACGCAGCAAAATGGAAAAGATTTTCTAACTTCGCCAATGTACACTCTTTTCCAGCCTCCTCAGCCTCCGTCTCACAGATACTTCAGTTCCTTTTTGAACTGCATCAGTCTGGACTTAAACCTTCATCTATAAAGGTTTACATAGCAGCGCTCTCCCACTACAGAGGAGCTATACATGGTTTCTCCCTTTTTACTCAACCTCTAATAAAAAGATTTTTGAGAGGCTTAAATAATCTGAATCCCACTGTAAGATCCCTAATGCCTACATGGAGTCTCTCGGTGGTTCTACATGCACTAACTCGATCACCGTTCGAGCCCATGGCGACAATTGATTTACGCCTTGTTTCTTGGAAGACAGCCTTCCTCGTGGCAGTGACTTCAGCACGTAGATCCTCTGAACTATGCGCTCTTCGAGTGGATCCCCCTTTTCTAAATTTTCACAAGGAAAAGGTGGTTCTTCGCATGGATCCGTCTTTTTTGCCGAAGGTTGCTACCTCTTTCCATATGCAACAGGAAATTGTGTTACCGGCGTTTTTTCCGGTCCCATCGAATCCAATAGAAAGATCTTTACATATGCTGGACGTTTGCCGCTGCTTAGCCTTCTATAGATCCAGGACTGAATCCTTTCGGCATTCAAATAGACTCTTTGTGAAGTATTCGGAGCGCGACAGGGGTTCTCCAGTTACCGCTCAGCGCCTTTCGAAATGGATAGTTAATACAATTGTCCTAGCTTATCAGCTCGCCAAGTTGGATTTACCGTCTACTCCAACAGGCCACTCCACAAGAGCTGTCGCTGCCTCTTCAGCCTTTGCATCGGGAGTTCCGATAGAGGACGTGTGCAAGGCGGCCATTTGGTCTACCCCGTGCACCTTTGCCAAACACTATCGGCTAGATGTCCGTGCCAGACAGGATTGCTCTTTTGGCAGAGCTGTACTTTCGTCTGTCCTTCGATAATGACACCTCCCTCCTCCGGTTGGGGTAAGCTTGTTATTCTACCCATATGTGTGATGCACAGAGGCCACGATGAAGAAAAGCAGGTTGCTTACCTGTAACTGATGTTCTTCGAGTGGCCATCTGTGCAGTCACACAACCCACCCTCCGACCCCTCTTGGTGTCATGGGTGGTTCGATTATTTTTGCTTAAATATTATAATCTCTCCTATAGCTCGTACCGCTATTTTTACCCTTCTTGTACTAATGTGCAATGTTATAAGGAACCGAACGTCGGTCTTTCAAAGACTGAAAATGGCGGTCACTCTGCTCCTTATATACTGCTAGGGGGGAGGGGGAGCAGAGTCCCCGCCAAAAAACCGTTAGCTGTTAATCTTCCGGCCAAAGGCACTGCGCAGGCGCAGAACCCATATGTGTGACTGCACAGATGGCCACTCGAAGAACATCAGTTACAGGTAAGCAACCTGCTTTTCCTGGATGGTTTTAATAATAGAATTGTATCCCTATTGGTTTAAGGCAGGAGCAGGTAGGATTTGGGCTGTATGCATCCCCCAGGACTTTTTTGTTATACCAAATACACTATTTAAGTTGTGCCGTGAACGTGTACACTTTAAAGCAGGATCCCCATTTGACTGCTGTATTTCTGCGCAGTGGGATGGGATTTTTAATCAAGCAACAGTGACAGGAATTCATATTTAAATCTTTCAACGTAAAATAAAACCCTGCTCACACACAAAGACTTCTAGACATCTAACTCAAACCACAGTCTCTCTCCATCTTACAAGAGCCATAACAGCCTTTTTATTATTATTGTTAGTACATTGCATTTATATCCTTTTTTTCTATTGGGAGGAACCCAAGGCAGCTTACAAAGCTCCATTTTATTCTCCCAGCAACAACAACCCTGTGAGGTAGGTTGGGCTGAGAGTGAAGGACTTGCTCAAAGGCACCTAGTGAACTTTGTGGGTGAGGACTAAACTCAGATCCATAGTCCACACTCTAGCCACCACATCACACTGACTCTCACAATGGCCCACCAGACTGCGTTTGGAACCTCAGTGGTCATAATGTTCTAGCAATACAGCTAAATCCAGCAATAAAACTAATTTGCTGAATGTTAATAAAACTAGCATTCATCATTTCATGACATTGCTCGCCTATTTTAGGGCATTGTACTTTAAGACGCTTGCATTTTTCAGAAAGCCCACATTACTCCATGTTGTAACCTTTAGTTAGTGCATACATTTGAAATAAAAATAAGTAGAACTCCTATGAATGAAACGTTGGTGTAGTTGTAGCAATGTTGCCCTTTAAAACTAGAAGCTTTTCAGTTGAAAAAATGTGTGGCTGTTTCTAGATGAAAACCTTTGCCCATAAATGCTGCAGTGTTGTTTACAGTCAGTGACATGCACAACCCTCTCCTCCCAAAATGTGTGCTTTTTCGTGAATTAATACATATTTTCCTAACGAGTAGAAGGAACAGTGACTGGGTTCACATGAAATGATAAGCCACCAGTGGAAACATCATGTAAAGCACCCTAAGTAGCCATGGCTTGCTGTAGAGTTTAGAAAACTTTGCATGGCCAGTCTGAATCTAGACAACACACTAGACCACTGTCAAGCTGAAAAATAGAAGAGTCCCTCAGCCAGAGTGGCAGAAGAGAGTAGTCACTCTGGTCATAGGGGTCTAGCTGATGACAGATGACAAAATTCCAGCAGCACTTTGCGTATTTTTCTCTGGTTTCTCCTATGCTCCTGCTGATCCCAAAGGGAGAGTAGGACTGCTTGTGAGGAATTCTGCTCTCCCCCTTGCAGGAGCCAAGGAGCAAACTGCCAGGTTTTGCAGAGTGCTGCCTCCCCATTTGGGGCTGAGGAGGCAGGACTTATTGAACAAACCAGATTCTTGGTCTCACTTCCTCATGAGGACATGGATCTTACCTGCATCTGCCACCACTGCAGCAGGAATCATCCACTCTTGCTTGTTTCCACCTCTCTCTTCCCTTAACATTGTCCAAGGGAACCAGCACTCAGCTGAGCTCTAGCTCTGGCATTTGAAAGCTAAAGCCAAGTATCTTGTACTGTTGCTTACCTGGAAAGAAAGTGTTTCCTCTCCCCATGACAGCCTTTTTTCCTGCCTTCGATTTTCTTAACTGCCCTACACATTTCCTCCTTCCCTCCTCCCGCTCCTTCTAGGACTGATTGCTAGTGTAATGAAGAGTTATCATTTATCATTCATTCATTCAATGGATTTATATGGTGCTACACTAGCTCATATTTGGACTTCCTACACTGCTCACAATATCAACACACCATTCTAAAATCAATAGCATTAAATCAACATCTTCAAAACATATTAACAATATAATCCAAATATACAGGTAATATAGCAAATTATAATATAATATAAACATTAAATAAAACAATATGAACTAAAATTGACTAAAATCAACATGGGGTTCATTTTAAAATCAGATCGTCATTAAAATCCATTGTTCAGATAACTGGAAAAAAGATCAGTCTTTGCCTGCTGCCAGAATGCTAACACCATAGGTGCCAGGTACAGCTTTTTGGGAAACCTATTCCAGAGGTGGGGTACAACTGGGATGTAACAAGGGTGTGTGTGACTGTGACTAGGCTTTGTCTCTCAAGATATGACTGTAATTGGTAAATTAGCCACAGTTGGAGGATGATGCACCTGGCCACTGAGTCCACCTGAGACTCAAGTGAGAGTTTTGGATTCAGGAGCACTCCCAAACTGTGGACCCTGTCCTTTAGAAGGAGCACAACTCCATCCAGGACAGGGTGTAGGTCATTCAACCCATCTGACTGGCTGCCCACCAACAGTACTTCCATCATTTCTGGATTGGGCCTCAGCTTATGGCCCTCATCCAGTCCAGTATTGAGCTCAGGCACCAGTTTAGGATAGCCACTGCTTCACTGGATTTGATGTGAATGAGAGGAATGAGTATCATCAGCATATTGCTTTGATGACCTCACCCAGCAGTTTCATGTAGATGTTAAATAGCATGGGGGACAGTATAGAGCCTTGCAGAACCCCATGATGTAATCGCAGAACCAACCTGTCCAGAAGGACACCATGGTGTTGAAAGCCTCTGAGAGATCCAGGAGAACCATCAGGGTAATTTCCTAAAAGGACCCTAGAAAGTCTAATTTCCTGATCAGCAATGGTCAGGAGAGCTCCCTTCCATGAGCTCTCAGCTGTCTTATTTGAGAAATCAGTATTTTCACTTATTTCCACTTGGATTTGGTAGTGGGTCCCATTGGTGTGCAGTCACAATAGGATACTGCTCATTATTAACTACGGCCATTAGATTTTTCTCTGTTCCTTATGGGGTTAAATTCTCATAGTTACACTATGGGGCAGGTGTTCTTATAGGTACAATTGTACTTCAACATACAATGTTTCATAGAAGAAACTAATTCTTAGATTTTTTTCATCCTAGGATTATTGAATTAAATGGAGGACAGCCACCTCTTACCTATAAGAGATTTCAGACTCTAATAAGTAGAATGGAACCATTGGAAATGCCAGCAGAAACTATTACTGCAGAAGTAATGTCAAAGTGCACCACCCCAGTTTCTGATGACCATGATGAGAAATACGGTGTTCCATCACTGGAAGAACTAGGTAATCCAAAATAATTCATCATTATTCATTATGTACTATAAAAATAAATGTGGATCTTTCCTAATGACCTATGTAACCCTACATGGGATTGCCTGTAGAAAAAGGAACAAAAACCCTACAGACTGACTGTTAGGGCAACTATGTGCATGTCTACTTGAAAGTAAATCTAATGTAGTTCAGTGAAATTTACTCCCATGTAAGTGTATAGAATTGTGGTTTCCTTGCTGCAACTCTGCTAGCTGCCATAAGAAGTTGTCATATTCATGAAGCTGTAAACAGTGTGCATATAAGGACATTTATATTGGAAACAGTGTTTTTTCTCCATTCCTGGTTTGTTGTGCCCCACAACTCCTTTTCATTATCTAAAATGTGTTTGAGGTATTGTAGGTCTGACATAACTTTGCCATATTAGTTGCTTGTTTACCATTGGACTACTGTGGAAACAGACTGTGAAAATCTTGACTGTGCTTTGCTCTGTTCAGAACACCACTAACCAAGAAAATTGCTCTTCTTTCTCTATTTCCAAGGCTGGCATGTTAGCTGCAGGAATATTTCCCACCATGACAGCTTTATAAGGAAGAGATTTCTCCTTGCTTTGAAAGATTGGCCACAGGAATAGCTGAAGATTTCTAAGCAAGTTTTTTCAAGTGGTCTCATAATTGGCTTGCTGGGGACAGAAAAGTCTGATCTCCTACAAAACTACCTGTCACTGACCCTTGTGCCATTGTTGCGTGCTTCTCACATTCCCAGCTTCACTTGATGGCTTCTGGAACAGCCTGTCCCAAGCAGCCTAGAAAAGATTCCCCTCTCCCCTCTTTCACCAATTTTCCATCTGGTGAGAAAAGGAAGCTGTGCATCTGCCATCAGATGAAGACTGTGATGATATACCTGATACATTCCATAAAGAATAAGTAATGGTACTGGCTTTAGATGTAAGGATAAGCCAAAGTTAATACAGAATTTGTAAGCCAAAATCATAGACTCTAATTGTAGTTTGTTGCCAAACCCCCCCCCCTCCCCAAAATGCTTGTTTAGGGAGACAGGGTGAGATGACACAAGGGACAATTCAACTAACCAAAAACTGTCATAGAGTTAGCTTCTAACCAGAATCTGTGGGGATGCTGAAATCTCAGAGGCAAGATGGAATTTTCAATAGTATAGGTCAGGGGTCCTCAAACTTTTTCAACAGGGCCAGTTGAAAGGTGGTGGCAGGTGCGGGCTGGCGAGTTGTGTGTGCGGCGGCAGCAGGTGTGCGCACAGCGAGGTAGCATCTTGCTCACTCGGAGACCAAAACCTCTCAGGCAGGCCGGATAAATGAGCATGATGGGTCGGATCTGGCCCGTGGGCCATAGTTTGAGGACCTGTGGTTTAGCAGTGGTTGAAAGGAAGGGCTTCAATGTTCCTGCCATTCCAGTGGACACAAAAGCAGAATAAATTACAAAAGAACTACAGAATTAATTTTCAGATCAGTGGTCTGGATTTGTATAAGACTGGGTCATATTCTAAATTGCAAGATGTATATAGGTTGTAGAATTTAGCTTTCATTAGTATAGAACTTAGGTTGCCTAGGTGTAGAATCTTACACAATGAAGAGTACACATAATGGTGAAGGTCAAATGAGCACATTTTTTCCTTATCCTCTTTTGTTAATGGAGGCTTCTGCTAGATCAAAGACCTTTCTGCAAATAGGACCCTTCCATTCAAAGGAGCACCACTGGATTTTACCCACTGAATTCTTTTAAATAGCAAAGGAATAGAAGATCCACGTGCATTTGCTTGACAGAATCTACAGTACAGTTGCAAATACCAACTCAGAACATTGTTTGAATCTTGATGTTGTAGTTTTTTAATTGGATCGTTCTTTTCCACCCCCCCCCCCCAGTTGACTCTTATTCACTGATATTCAAATATAATATCGGTGAATAACTTCCTGTTTGGGGAAACCAGAATCTTGACAAAATGATTAGGCTGCTATATTTATGTTAATTTTTGTCCTGCAGGTTTTGATACAGATGGACTGCCGTCTGCTGTTTGGCCAGGTGGAGAAACAGAAGCTCTTACAAGATTGGAAAGACATTTGGAAAGAAAGGTATGTTGCTGAACTTTGCTATCCATTAAGCCGGATTGTAGAGTTAAGTAGAAAGTAGGTTGTGGGTCTGATAAAGGTATATTACAAACAATTAACTTCTTCAAATAGATTTCAAGCATTGGAGTTTTCTCATTTTCATCTTGAAAGCTTTATTGTTGCTGATGACTAGATTTAATTTTGCATGTGATTAATTATTGCTTATACATAATTAATGCTCCATCTACTTTACGGACATTTTAAAAAAATCTTGACTCTAAACCCAACAGAATAAGGGTTGGCAAATTATAACCCTGCATATCACCATTGGTTATTCTGGGCGGGGATGATAGGAATTGTAGGCCAAACCTTACACCTATTAAAAATATTTTTGTTAATTCTTTTAAGTATAATGCAGCTACTTTTTGTTTGTAGCTTTTAGGCAAGATACAGGGATGAAATTTGGTGTCCTTTGGGGAAGAGTCAGAATTGTGTGTTCTGTGTTTTCTTGCTACATAGAAGCAATCTTTTGCCAATTCTTTGAAACAAAATAGTCAATGTTACTTTTCACTGGTAAATAAATGGAAAAAAATTAACTGGTGAACCATATGAAACATATACACTTCAGTGGTTCCTAGCATCTGAGATCTAACCAACTGTTGCCAACTTCTTTTTTTAATTGATCTTCATTCCAAAAAAAAATGAAATGTACATAATTATTTCATTTTTATTTTAAGGCTTGGGTAGCAAACTTTGAACGGCCACGAATGAATGCAAATTCTCTTCTTGCAAGTCCTACAGGACTTAGTCCCTATCTACGCTTTGGCTGTTTGTCCTGCCGCCTCTTTTATTTCAAGTTAACAGACCTGTACAAAAAGGTATGAACTAGCAACCTTGAACATTCAGATAATTAATCTATAATAAAACACTGCTTTAAAACTGATTTTTTATCTCATGATTTTCAGGTAAAAAAGAACAGTTCTCCTCCTCTTTCTCTCTATGGTCAGTTGTTATGGCGTGAATTCTTCTATACAGCAGCCACAAACAACCCACGCTTTGATAAAATGGAAGGCAATCCTATTTGTGTACAAATTCCATGGGACAAGAATCCTGAAGCTTTGGCAAAATGGGCAGAGGGCAGGACAGGATTCCCTTGGATTGATGCCATCATGACCCAGCTACGTCAGGAAGGCTGGATCCACCATTTGGCCAGACATGCTGTGGCTTGCTTCTTGACTCGAGGTGATCTGTGGATTAGTTGGGAAGAAGGAATGAAGGTATACTTTTAATTAATGTATTTATGCTCTTTATGATTACAGTTGAGTATCCCAGACATATAAATACATTAGGACCCTGAATCTGCAGGGGATAGGTTCCAAGCCCTCCAGCAGATGCCTGAAATTATGGATAGTAGTGGACACTGTACAGTCAGCCCTTCAAATTCATGGGGTTATGGGCTCAGGACCCCTTCAAAAATGAATGGTGAATATCTCTAGTGGGATCCCAAATGTTAACTCTGAATCCTGTTGACTAGACATGTCTTGGTAGCTGCACTACAATTACCTCTTTTGTAATTTGAATAACTTTTAACTTAAAACAAGATCTGATGCACCAGAGGACGGTCTGCTCTGGGGGAGTTCATCTTGCATCACTTCATGAGCTTCACACATAGCCGCATGCCCAGTCCTGAATCTGATGCCTTCCCCATCCTTGCCAGGGGGGCGGCACATCATTCTGGACTGGCTGCAGTGGTAGCCAGGAAGGGGAGCATTCCCTGCTCAGCTGTCTGGAGTAGTAGGCAGTAGGCTCCCAAAAAACTCCCATTTTTTTTGGACTGTGGTCAGCCATGGTTAAGTGAAATAGCGGACACAGGTGTTTTACTGTATTTCTAAATAACATTAAGACAACTTTAGTTAAACAGTCAATTTATGTGGAATTGGTTATGTTTTTACCTCTAGTGTTAATTCTCTGTACATTGTCTTCTGTTGCAGAAAGCTTCGTTATTTTCTCACCTTTTGGATTAATACCTTTAGGCAGCAGTCCTAATCATACTTACAGAAGAATAAACTCCATTAAACTTCATAAGGCTTAATTCTGAGTAAACATGGTTAGATTTGTCCTGTAATTAGAGATCTGTGGGGTGGAATTTATAGCCTGTCAAGAGTAAACATTAAATATCCTTATATAACATCAGAATATTTAGTAAAATGGCAGCATCTAGTGGAGAACCAACATATTACATGTCACACTCAAAGTTTCCTGTGTGAATTTTTGTTTTTTCTACAACCCTGTCCTTTTTTCCTCCTCCTTTCCTTTTCTGTGCATTAAATCTCATCAACTTAAGTGTTCAGAATAATACCATGGGCAGCCTGATCCTGTAGATTGGCTATAGCCACAGCAATATGAATATTGGCTTGTGCCAGATTTTTGAAGTCTAGTTCTGTTTATGTAAAGGGGCGGCAATTTGCACCATTGTAGAGCTTTCAAGAAACCTGACATACTTTTTCTTGCATTCACCTTTTTTATGTGTGTTACATCTAAGCAGGCATCTATAAAATGCACTGTAAAGGAGCCAGATGGAATGCATGCAAGGCAGTAGTGTAGCCTTCTCTGCTGAGAATAGATTCATTGCAACAATGCTCACCCTTAGTTCATCTTAGTTTTATTTCTGTTTTTATATATGCAGGCTGCCTTGATCCTCTTGTGCAGGCAACTCTCACAGATGAAATTATGCTTGCTGACTTAGCACAGCTCAAAAGCTGAATGAGTTTTGCCATGTGTAACCCACACGAACTTTTCTCAACATGGTTTAGAATAAAACTCAATAGTGAACTTTTCTTGGCATTATGTAACATTTTATACATTGTTAAAATGTATACATATTTTCAAAACCAACATTCATATGCTTTTTATACCAATGCTTTAAAAAGTGTGCAAATTCTAAAAGGTGTTTGATGAAAAACTTGTGCGCTCAAAATAATTCAGTAGTGTCTGTTTTTATAGGTATTTGAAGAATTGCTTTTGGATGCTGACTGGAGTGTAAATGCAGGCAGTTGGATGTGGTTGTCCTGTAGCTCCTTCTTCCAACAGTTTTTCCACTGCTACTGTCCTGTGGGTTTTGGCAGAAGAACTGACCCTAATGGGGACTATATCAGGTTAAGCACCTTTGTTAGATGTTTAATTAAACATTTAATCCATTGTTCAAACTGTACCATATGAGATGCTGATTTAAATGTTTTTCTTTCATTTTTAATAAGACGCTATCTGCCTGTACTCAGAGGTTTTCCTGCAAAATACATATATGATCCTTGGAATGCCCCTGAGGGTGTACAAAAGGCTGCAAAATGTATTATAGGAGTGAATTACCCGAAACCCATGGTAAATCATGCTGAGGCAAGTCGCTTGAACATTGAGAGGATGAAACAAATCTACCAACAGCTGTCACGATATAGAGGATTAGGTATGAGACATTTTGATCTGGAAGTCTGCTTTTCTTATATCATTGCTGATCTGTAGTCTCAGGGTTCAGATACTAAAGAAAGTTTAACTAGTTGACTTGAAGGTGATTAGAGAACAAAATGCTGTTTCTCTTAGGGGCTTCATTTGACTTCTTCAAAACATGGTGTTAACATTTTAATGTAAAGTTCTTGCCTCAAACTTAATTTCTTGCATAGGTAGGGCACTGCATTGGCTAACATACCCACCCATGGAGCCAGATGTGCAGTAATGCAACAAACATGAAGGTGGTTATCACATGGGTGTTCCCTCCATTTAGTGTAGCTTTCTTCACTACAGATAGGGGATGTTTAATTTGGTAAGCTACCCTAAACTATTTGAAGGACAATATATATGTTTGTTAATTAAATGCTTTTCATTGTTGTTAAACAGACTACCTCCTTTGGTCTAGAAAGATGAAGTTTTATATTAGTATGTAGAATGCATACCGGTTTTCCACAATAGGATTTAGTTTTCCAATTATCAACCTTGGTCTTTTTTTTGCAGCTCCTCTTTCTTACCATTATGTCGTAACTCAAAGTCTGTTTTCATGCCTAGGTATATATTTGTAGATTTAAAAATATCACCTTGATCTGCATAATTTCATCCTGCAAGCTGTTGCAGGAAAGATCTACTTATGGTTCATAGAAGAGAAGAGAGGCCCACTGGAAGAATGGGGAAGGATTTAAAGAACAGAACTGTGTGATCTTCATTTTAATGCTGTTGTACTTTGTTCTGATTAGGCCTCCTTGCATCAGTGCCTTCTAATGGAAATGGAAATGGAAACGGTGGCCTAATGGCTTACTCTCCTGGGGAAAACCTTCCTGGCTGTCCCAGTGCAGGTGGTAAGTTATCCTTACTATTGAGTCTTCATAAAATTAAGGCATACAGCAAAAAATACTTAACTGTTTATCTGTGGTGTAATGTTCAGCAACTTTTTTCAGCTTTCTAAAACCAGAACTTTAATAGCACTATTAGACAATAAAAGAAAGTAAATAGTAAATGTAAATAATCACACTCTATATTAGTAGAACAGGATGTTTACATCCAGCCATACAGTGACCAGACTGCAGAGAACACAAGATAGAAAAATCTATGCATTAACAATGCAGACCTCCTACCTTGGCAGACAAGTAGTTAGGGGATGGCTGTGGAGTAGTTCATAATAATGCTGTTTCTTTCCATACCCTGACATGCTGCTGTCGGGAGCAGTGCCCAGGCTCTAGTCATCAACTGGTTGTGACTTTAGGCAGTGAGGCGGATGTCCCTCTGCTTCTAAAAGGACCAGGACCTAGGTTGGATTGGGGTAGGAAGAATATGTAGCCCATACCCTCAGGACTTCATCCCCCCAACACTTCCCTGAGCATCTTTCCCCATGGAACAATAGAATAGTAGAGTTGGAAGCAACCAGTAAAGCCATCAGATCCGACTCTCTGCTTAATGTAAGACTCCAGGTTAAAGCACCCCTAACCGGTGGCTGTGCAGCTGCATCTTGGATGTCTTCTGTGTGGGAAACCCCGCAACCTCCCTAGGTAATTTGTTCCATTGTCATATTGCTATAACAGTCAGGACATTTTCCCTAATGTTCAGCCAGAATTTGTCTTCCTATACCTTAAGCCCATTATTCTGCTTGCTGCACTCTGAGATGATAGAAGAGAGATCCTGGGCCTCTTCTGTGTGACAGCCTTTCAACCATTCATTTATTAATCTCAAGCTTCAGTCCTGCTCCTTCAGTTTGTCCTTCACCTTAATGGAACCTCTGAAGTTCCTCCAGTCAGTAAATCTAGATGATTAAGATGTTTCTCTGGTGGAGAGGATTTTGGTGGCAGGAGCTGAGAAAGTACTATTCTGAGTCAACATAAACATAGTGACATGCTGTGGAGCCATATAAGTATGCAGGTCAGTGCTATGGATCTGAAGATTTATGTTCTCACCAGAACTGGCATAATTATGCATAAAGCATATTTGGCAGTGTCTGGAAGTTTGATGTTTTGTAATCCTAACTGAAATGATTACAATGATTATTCTTGATTGCTTCTAGACTTGGGGTTTTTTGGGGCAGGGAGAATGATCATAGAAAGGTCTTCACCATCAGTAATAGCTAGAATGGTCTTCTCTGGGAAGTTATTAATAGATTCTTCCCAGAAACAAGAAGAGCCAATGATGTGGATTTCCTTTCTGCAGGATCTCAAATAGGAACTAACGAAGGCCAGTCAGGGAGTGTTCAGAGCTGTGCTCTAGGAGAATCTCGTACAGGAACAAGTGGAATTCAGCAGCAAGGTGAGATAGTTAGAAACTGTACCACATTCTTTCAGCTTCACACAGTTAAATTCTCCATGCCCGTTTTAATGGCATGTTTCTTTTAAAAATGCGAGAGATACCAGTTGAGCAGCAGAAGTGAAGCTCTCTTAGTGTACAGATTGCCTCTGTGATCAGATGTGCATGCCACAGGATTTGCTAAATCTTTTCATTCTGGAACTTACCTGAATTGAGCAAAAGTTCTGAGCCTCTCCAAGTAAAAGGCAAGAGAACTCTGCAGACGATTATTCTTGTTGTTGCAGTGGGAACTTAGAAATGGGAAAAAGTTAAACCAGTTCATTATGATTTTAGCAACAGTGTCCAAACCCCTGTGCAGAGCTCTCCATGCAGATATGCTTTCAGTAAGCTACATTATGTGAAAGCATGCTTAGTATTGGTAGAAAAGGAAAATTCTGGGAAAGCTAGAGAACTATAGAAAAGTGTAGAATTTCTACTTCATTGCTTTTAAGGGAACTGATGTAAGAGAACAGCCACAGATGTTAAATAATTATTTTGCTTCTGTATTCTCCACAAACTGAGTTGGGGGAGACCTACCTGGGGGGCTAGATGAGGTTGATTTTATGGGGGCACAGATTGGAATCACCTCCCTAGAAGTCAAGCTCTTAAGGGCCCTGGATGTTGCAAAGGACGATGGAAAGGCTCATTGTACGGAAAGCTCTAGAAACCCTAGATAGGGAAGGGAGGTTGGCAGCCATGCAGCATGGATTGCATAAAAACAGATCCTGCCAGATGAACCTTGTGGAATTCTATGATAAGGTCTCAAGGTGGCTAGATGGAGGGGATGTGGTGGATGTGGTTTACCTGGATTTCAGCAAGGCCTTTGACAGAGTGCCTCATGATATCCTGGTTGAAAAATCGTTAAGCTTTGGGATAAATCGATACTCTGTCCGATGGATTAGGGCATGGTTGATAGATCATAAGCCGAGGGTGACTATCAGTGGGGAATCATCAGGATAGCAGTTGGTGATGAGTGAAGTCCCTTGGGGCTCAGTTTTGGCTCCAGTTCTGTTCAACTTTTTTATCAGTGACCTGGAGGAAGGCATAACCAGTCTGCTGTCTAAATTCATGGAAGATACCAAAGTGGGGGTGGTGGCCTGAGGAGTAGGTGATCTAGATCCAGAAGCATCTGGACAGGCTGTGGAAGTGGGCAGGGCAACATAAGATCACATTCAATGTGGATAAGTGCAAGTGTCCAGGTACAGAATGGGGGACAAGTAGTTGGAAAGCAGCACTTGTGAAAGGGATGTCGGAGTACTCGTTGATAGCAGGCTGAACATGAGCCAGCAGTGTGATGTGGCAGTTAAGGCAAATGCCACCCTTGGATGTATAGCCAGAAGCATGGCTTCCAGATATAGGGACATGTTGATACCACTCTGCACAACTCTGGTGTGTTCACAACTGGAGTACTGCATCCAGTTCTGGGCTCCACATTATAGGAGAGACACAGCTCGGTTAGAATCAGTTTGGTGCAGGGTCACAAGAATGGTTGCCGGGTTGGGAGGGACATATGAGGAGAGATTGAAGGAACATGGTATTTCCAGCCTGGAGATGAAGAGACTCTGAGGGATCTTTTAGCGACTTGTAGCTATGTGAGGGGACATCATGTGGAGGAAGGCCATGACCTGTTCTTCCCTGCAGTGGAGGGCACTTCAATGGGGCAAAGCTCAAGGAACCAAGCAACAGCTGGACGTCAGAAAGTACCTCCTGATGGTTAGGACCCCTAGGGTATAGAATGGGCTTCCAAGGGAGGTGGTTAAGGCCTCATCAGTGAGGGTGTTCAAGAAAAGATTGGACAACCGCATGTTGGCGATTACATGAGCACAGCCAGCTTGAGCAGGGCTCAGACTAGATGCCCCAGAAGACCCCTTCTGACTTGCTTTGTTTCTATGTTTGTATTAGGCCTATTGACCAGAAGTTACCCTCCCAGGCATAATGAGGAAAAATATCTATCTGTAGTATATATGAGCTGGTTTTTACCCCTGATCCCTAAATGATTTTGAAGAGGGATGTTTTCCATTGCTTATAAAAGTTTATTAAGCATAAAACAATTATTTAATCTCTCCTACTGATATTTATTGCTGATTTTTAGAAATTAAAACCCCCCTCTATTTAACAGGTTACTCTCAAGGGAGTAGTATTTTGCATTATGCTCATGGGGACAGTCAGAAAACACATTTAATCCAGCAAGGTATGTTCTCTAAACATATTTGATGGCATTCTAACTAGGCGAAAGCTAAATAGTTTCTTAATCTGGATCTTTCTTAAACTCTGCAGGAAGAACATCACTTGGTACAGGAGTGTGTGCTGGGAAACGACCGAATCCTGAAGAGGAAACTCAGAGCATTGGTCCAAAAGTACAGCGACAGAGCAGTAATTAACTGGGTAAAAATTAGAATTCGGAAGGAGGCATTTGATGATAGAAAATATGCTGTATTCCACTCTCAGAAGAAAAAAAAGTAGACATGCCTCTACTGCATAGTTGAGAAATATAACTTCCAATGGAGAAGTGGACCAAACAGCACTGAACTTAACATCCTGCCTGGTAGTGGCCAAGATCCCCTGCTGTTTAGTCCATGCTTCTAGCTCTCTTATATAGGGATACCCTGAGCATGACCTGTATTACTAGCTTCTCTTTTTCCATTAAACTATGTATTAACTTGATCCTTTGTTTTTGCTTGTTGAGTGAGAGACACTCCCACTTAACTCACCAGCCATTTGTGTAATGTGGAGAGCAACTATTTATTTTGTTTATTTGAACCTATTTGTTAATGTTTATGTGCTTAATAGTTTTTGAACTGAGAAGATAATGTTTTTCATTTTATTTGTTCTAAATACCTTCTATAGATTTCTCTTTTGTTCCCTCCCTAAGTTGCAGCTTATCTAAGACTGTGTCCCATCTGTAACTTGGTATTTTCCTCCTCTATATTTCTGCTCCACTCTTGTCCCTTAAGAGGGAAAATCAAGATCCACCCAAAATAATCTGTGGCTATTCTGCACATGGAATCTGGGTAAATAGCATTGTTTTCCTACTTAAGGTTTTATTTTGCTGCACATTTATCCAGCTTGCATTTAGAACAAATAGTCAAGGCTGCCTTGAAGCATCGTTGATCCTGAAGCAGTTGTTCTATTCCAATCTTATTTTCAGAATAGCTAGGGCTACCTGGTATGGTGGCTGGGGATTTTGGGGGTTGCAGTCCCAACACATCTGGAGGATACCAGGTTGGGGAAGTCTACTAGGACAATCCAGTTTTCCTTTCAACTCTGAGGAAGGATTTTGGGAAGTTCACAGATTCCTTGAAAGCATGAAAACAGGAAACCCTAAATGTACTATTACTGGTTCTTACCAGCTGGAATACTTATTTTGCTGTACTTTTTTTCTTTATGCCAGAAATACTGTAAACATGAAGAATTGCTCCGACAATACTTATGAGGTGTCAGCCCAGATCTTAGTTTTACTTAAAATGCTGTGACATTAAGATCTGCAAATACACCAGGAAACCAGTATTATGGATTAACAAACTGTTGAGTTTTGCTGAATTTTTTTTCTGCACCAAGATGAACCAGTTTTTCCAACCCACTGCTTTACTCTAATCAACAGCTTCTGGACTAACTTAAAGGGTAAAAAAGACACTTGAAAGAAGCTGTGATTCATTTGCTCAGCACTACATTTCTGCATTGTTATGTCTTAAATTCTTTGTGCTGGGTTCTTCCTTTATTTTGTCTTTGAGCCACATCCAAGATCTAAATTTCCAGAACTAGTAGGACTCATCTTGCCAGAGTTCACTCTCCAATACTGCAGAGCCATAGGCCTCTGGAGTAGCTTTACTTTGAGGAGCTGCTTCTATTGTGTGGAGCCTGTACAATTATCAGATATGATTTGGTATAAAAGGCCAGTCTAATGTTAAAATCCCCAACCCTAAGAAATCCTACTTTGCTGTGTCTGTAGATGCCCTCTAGGCTAGTTATCCCCAACTTTGATTACAAACTTTTAGCTGCAATCTTAAACATACTTATCTGGGTGTAACTGATTGAACTCAGTAGGGCTTATTTCTGAGTAGACATGCATAAGATAGTACTGCTGGTCTGTCACTTCAGGTGCTGCTTTATGCAGCCTTTTTTGCCTTTTGGCCTCACTTCCATTTGAGATGCTTTTGACATAAATTACCTGTAGTTTGAAATCTGTAAACCTGTTTTCTTTACCCATCTCTGCTTGTATTTTTAACTTACAGCAGTGTTGAGAGAAGGATCCACATCCTAAAATTTCAGGGCAAAATTATATCACTTCATAGTGGAATTAAATTTTTGTGAGGGTACTTATAGTACAATTTTCATTTTCATACATTTATTTTCACACTCTAAATTGTTGTAATCAGGTATGATTTTTTGGAATGCATTGTTTCTAACTGGCATTTATATGGTTTTTAAACTTTTAATGACTTTCACAAGAGGCTAATAGAGATTTTTGTAAATACAGCATTTGGTGATGAGTTTGGTAACTTAATGTAAATATAAGCATTCATGATTAGTGATAGATTCATCAATATATTTTTGATATTTCATGTATGGCTTTCACTAAAGGCATTAATGGATTGATGTATAATGGAAAATGTCCAGGCAATGATGACCTTTTTAGATTTAATATTTTTAGATTTGGGACAGGATTTTTGACCTCTTTATGATCCAAGCTCTGTCTTTTCAAAATGTCAGCTCTTGTATGTCTGTGAATAAAATACAACAGAGAAGTTATTGTATGGAAATACAGTTGTATATAAGCCCCATGCCAATATTTTTGTTAAACAACAAAGTTGTCATGTAATACGTCCCATTCTTGTATTTCCCACTGCCTTGTTCAATCACAGTGAGGATTCCTTGTTAATAAAAATGTATATACAGTTTGTTTCATTGAAGCCTTATTCTTGTGCAAATTCATTGTCAGTCTAGTTGGTAGTTTTTTTAAAAAATGTTAGTATAATGAGTCTTGATATGTAGTTTCTGTTAATGATAATGATTTTAACCATGGCATCTGCTATCAGATTTATCTGATATTTGGGCTAATTTTACTTAACTGTTTAACTTAATTTAACAAAGCTAAGAACCATTTTCCTGTGTTACACTTTAAATGTTGTTTTTTGTAGCATAATAAAGGTTCATGGCAAATAAGTGTGGGATGGAGAATGGCATCTGGATCCATAGTAGTGCCATCAGCAGATCAGGGAGTGCCATCTCCTGAACAATGCCCCAACCCTTTTTGCCCCTTCCAGGCAGTGATGCTTAAATAAATGGAGACAGAACAGTTGTGGAGCAGATGGAAATTGCCTGTGTAAAATACATTCTGGTCCAGATACTGCCACAAGATCACACATACTCATGAAAAGGTATAGTATGTTATCTGTTACCATTTGATACTCTTTAAGCCTGCTGTCACATGTTAGAATAATGGTAATCCAGAAAGAACTGCCTGGATAGCACTTGCACTGGTGAGAGAAATTTAGGACAAATTTGGTTGTAAGCCTAAAGACAGAAGTAGATGATACATTTCTGCATCAGCCATAGCAGACCTCCATGAAAAAAGGTCTGGAATTTCTGAGTTTATTTTATGGCATTATTAGTGTGCATATACTTTAGTGTGCAGGTTGAAATTACTGAGGATGGGAGGCACTGCAGGAGAGAAGAATGCTGATGAAAATGCAGGTAGCCAGTGCCGGTAGCAGTTGTACAGCAGGAAGGAAAATGAAGAGACCTAAATCTAGTCCCGTATCAGTGCCAAATAGCAAATCGGTGGAATTTTAACTGTCTGGAAAGGACTACTCTGATAGAATGGCTAATGGGTGCCTTGCAACCTAGAAATGCAGTATTAGCACTGTAGCCAAGCAGAATATCCCTGTCTGCATCACTACATACAGAATATCTCCCATACACACACAATTCACAAACTAGACCTTAAAAGATGGGAGGACTGCAAAGAAAAGACTGAAATACAACAGCTACAGCAGCGCTGACTGGATTCCGTTCAAAAATTGAGCGAACCAGTTATGTCAGTTGAAAAGGAGCGGCTCACATGAAATCATTCTTCACTATTATGTGTGTAAGGTACAAAAATCAAATGAACAGTGAATAATCCAGCTGTTGCCCAGCTTTGTGAACCCATATTCTTGTCTATTTCTTCCATGAATTTGGTTTCCACAAGTGGCACTCTGAGATCCAATCTGATATTCTTCCTTTCCCACTTAATATGCCAAAGCTTTTGTAAACAGCATGGAAAGAAAAGGCTCAAGCTATCGGCTCCATATTCTATATCCAGAGAGTGAGATGGTGGTTTATTATTTATTGAAAGTGTATAACCCCACCCTTCAGCCAAAAGACCCCTGGAGCAGCATACAAATCAATGAAAACTGAGGCAGGCTCTGCCTGCGGGCTTACAGACTTAAACACGCAGCACAATATTTACAGCACATTTACCCAAGCAAATGTGGGCATGGGTCAGAGAGTCTCTCGGTGCATTCACATAGTAAGTGTTGCACCCCACATGTTATTTATTTACTTATTGCTTCAGATTGTGTTTGACTGTTGGTGAGCTGCCTTGAGAGTTTGTTAAACTGAAGGGCAACGGGAACATGTTTCAGACCAATACAGGGATGAGAGCTGACAATAATAAGCATTGCTTCCAAACACTGCAGCCATGGGTGTTTCTCTAAACCTCTGATGTGACTCTGTATCAGGATTCACAAATTTTTCAGGCCAAAGGCTTGGGGGTCACAGCTTGCAAGCTGATCTCGCAGCCCAGAGAAGCCTACGCACCTTGTCCAACACTGCTAGCAGTGTCAGGGAGGGATCAATCTGTCTGAGGATCTCTGGTGGAGGTGGAAAGTACAGGTGGCAGTAGTGGGGTGGTCAGGACAGTCTTGGGGGATTGCCATAAAGTCCCTGGGGCCACATGCTCTGTAGTCTACAGATGAGAATTTGCAGAAAACAGGTGGCAACATATTTATGAATGCAACTAAAGTAACATTGGTAAGATGTCAGAACAGGACCATCTGTTGGATATTCTAAGAATACATCTTAATAAGGTTTAAGGGAGAAACAGCATAAGCATAATGTCAGAAGAGGCTCTTCAATCAATATCAGCTTGGGGTCTTTGAGGGCCCATGGGCAAGATTCTCTCAATGCCCCCTGCCCCCGTGAGTCCGCCTTTTCAAACCCAGCTGCTATTGCTCCTCTTTCTTGTCATGTGCTTGTTTGACAAGCAGAGTACCAGTGTAGCGACTACTGCTCCTTCCTCCACACCACAGCCCTTCACCCGGAACAAGAGGCAGATGAACAAGGTAGTTGCAATAGTGAAGAGGAGAAGCAAGTCCTGGGGACTCAATAGGCCCCTGCTGGGTTATAGGCCCTTGTCAGGTGCCCAACCATACCTACCCTTGGCACTGGCCCCGTCTTCAGTGGTACCTTCTCTCTTATGTTCATTCCCATGAAAGGAGGAAATGCCACTCTAGGCATCACACTTTGCTGGCTAAGAGTTGTTTTACCCAACCACATTTGGGAAGACCAATGGGCACTCTGTAAGCCCAAAATAAGGGTGTCCAAAGCTCCAGTTAAACCGTCTCTACTGCAGTTGCTTCTGAAAGGCAATATGTGACTTAAATTTGAATATGCCTTAGAGCCCTTATCCATCTATTATAGCAAGTGTCATTTAATGTGGGCTTGTGTAAGTTGTATGAGACAGTAAGGAAGCCAAGGCCAAATGTGGCCCAGAGCATCTCTTGTGCATGAGAAAACAGCTGTGCTTATGAAACCATTTTTCTCTTTTTATGGACTGGGATTATAAGAATAAGAGAACTGGAATTACAAGTTTCTTCAGAAGATGAGTTGAAGCTTGTTGAGTGACATGGAAATGCTGACCACAAGGTAGCTGGTTTTGTAAGAGGATCTTCTCTCCTCTACCTTTCTATCTTTCTAGCAGAATAAATGTTAAATTATTGCAAAACAGACCTGATCAGACATAAGTGTATCATACTTGGAAAAACAGGCAATACCCAATTCTGTCACAGTATAAGAAATAATTTTGTTATGCTTGTCATGCTAGCATATACCAACTTGAGTGCATCTCATTAAGGCTAAAATATTTGCCACTGAATATTTGTCAACTGCTGCAACTCCCCTTTGCCCAGCAAGAGTTAATGGTGTGCTAGGACTGGTTTACACTAATGCTGCCACAGCACTGCATACTGCCCAAGTGAGTATTAAGAAACACCAAGAGGAAAGAGAGGCCACACACGCTTACATATGTGTGCATCTGTGTGTGCATCTCTTGATAGAGGTATCCAATGATGTCATTCTACAAACTCAGAGAGTGCTAGTAAAACTCAGCCACATCTTTCCATTTTCTGCAAGGGCTTATGCATCATGCTTCAATAACATTTTGTTGGATTCTCCAGCTACACATTGTTCAGAACCTCACATGTGTGAGCACAACATCATTTGTGGAATGACGCCATTGCAGGCAAACCCAACTCAGGTGCAATCCTAGGTGTGCTTAGACAGAAAAATATCTCGCATCTCCCAGTCTTCCCCAGCCAGCCATTCTCCATCCAGCCCTTCGTTTTCTTGTAGATTAGAAACTCATCCTGCACTTTTCTCCCCTTGAGTTCAGTAGGGCAGACTTCCAGGTAAATGGACACAGGAGTGCAGCTTGCAGTCTAAGAGGTACAGTTTGGTTATTTTAATCACTGGAATTAATGGGCCTTTGGTGGCAGGTGAGGAATGTGTGGAGGCTTTTAGCTGATGTGGTGGCGGTGCTTCATTTACTTCAATGAAGTAAGCAAACCCTGCTGCATTTCAGGTCTCTCTTGCTTCTCCTGCTGCATGGGGCCTGGACATCTATCACAAAGTCCTGCCCTGATGGAGCCCCTGGATTAATTAAAATTAATTTATGTAAGACAAAGAGAAGGGGGCAAGTGTATAAGCAGTTGCACAAAGTAAATTGCTGCATCCATCCTTTCATCATTATTATCTCTAATATGTGCTAATCACTTTATAACTAGATAGAGGAAACTGAATAATCTGCGAACCCCCTCTGGCCAAAATAGAATGCTCTAAGATCTTCATAATTCAGATACTCACTGATAACATTAATTGTAGGAGATAAATAGAGGCTCCTATAATTAACTCTCATTCAAATGCTATGTTAGAGCAATTGTGCCTGTGCTGCACCAAAGCCTATTGTAGAATATGGGTGCTTATTCACAATATACCCCAAGGTTTGTTGTACCTGGCCTATTCTCCATACATTTACATGGTTAGAAATTCTAGAGTCATGCAAAGCTGGTGAGAGTGGGCTATGCCAGTGTTAAGCAACCTCTGCATAATCCCAAAAGGTGACTTTTGCACAGGCATTGGCACTTTCACAGCAGTCTAAGAAGCCTCCCACCTTAACACATTTTGGAACATTAGGAAGCACCAGGCCAAGAGTCACATTAAATTAATTTTATTGCTGCTCTGTCTGCAGTTTTAAGGTCTTTTCCCTTGTTTTGTATTCTATGAAATGCAATGCATTTTATTATGATACTGTGCTTTTTATTATACTGAATCTGTTAGGATGGATGACAGCTGAGAAATGGGGAATCCAGTGTCCATGGGCACCTCTTTTGCCACCTGCCAGATTCCCTGCCTTTCCTTAGGTTTATCATTATCATTATTTTTTAATGCGGACACTGGAATGGTGCAAAGCAAAGGGTTGCCCTCCAGCACCACCCTGATTTGGATTCTAAGGAGTGGTTTCGTGTTTTTGAGCTCCAACCCCACCTTTGCCCTGAACTGGGTTCTTGGGCAAGTTACTAAACAAAAAGTTGCCTTCTGGGAAATGAATTTTTGGCAGCCATTCCATGAATGCGTGGACCCTCATA